GATTGGTCAATCGCCGGCCTCACACCTGCCGCCATCTTGAAGTGGACACTGGCAAGCCAGTTTAGAGGCGACAGACAATGGACAAGGCGGGCTTACGAGTCGACTCGATTCAACGCGACTCGACGTTGCCAACCTTCTCGAGGCACTGGACAAGCCAAAGCACGTTACTATGACACCTTGACAACAGGTACAGAAGCATTAGTTGTATTCATCCATTTTCGTGTAACATGGTGAAGGACTGGGCGTTGAATGTGCCCACAATCAGACGCGAAGAGCTGTTCTTTCCCACCGAATTGTGCACAGACCTGCTTTCGCAAAAGGTCTTCTCATCCACGGCGGTCGGCAGTCTTGACAACACACCAAGCGGGACTCTAACCACAACTCGTTGATCACACTCGGCCACATTGCCACGAGTGCCGTTGGCTAGATCACATTTTTTGATCGGATTGTCGATGAAGCAAACCCTTTCTCGCTATAGCACTCGACGAGACTACTCTTTCCGTTAGTAAGTAGCGTCTCGAGACTAGCAGGAAAGCAGATTTGTGAGTTGCATCGAGCGTGCAGGCCGCCAAAAGAAAATAAAAAATAAAAAACCTAGATGGATACAGAGTGGTTTGGCTAATTATCTTTCATAATTGTCCTGCTACTTTTGCTCGAGTGTATGCGTGTATATGTGCGTGTGTGTTAGCGTCTATACGCAATACCGATCCCAAATCAGAGTTATCAAAAGGTTGAAGTTAGGCCATGACCGAGACTGCGTAAGTCCGTAAGTAAGTATGATTGAGATGATGAGATATGAGCTTGTAAGCATGCAAGTCAAGTTACGAAACCACTTGTCCTAACCTCTCGGTCGAGGGTCATTAACGTCTTACCTCTTTTATAGACTCAATTTAGGAAAAGAAAGGAAAAATAAAAACCTAAATCCACCGATTCAGAGTGGTTTGGTCAATTATCTTTCATACTGGTCCTGTTACTTTTGCTCGAGTGTATGCGCGTATGTGTGTGTGTGTTAGCGTCTATATGCAGTCGGCAGTCTTGACAACACACCAAGCGGGACTCGAACCACAACTCGTTGGTGACACTCGGCCACATTGCCACGAGTGCCGTTGGCTAGAACACATTTTTGATGGGATTGTCGGTGAAGCAAACCCGTTTTCGCTATAGCACTCGACGAGACTACTCTTTCCGTTGGTGAGTAGCGTCTCGAGACTAGCAGGAAAGCAGATTTGTGAGTTGTATCGAGCATGCACGCCGCACTGTCGTGGTTCGAGCCCCGCTTGGCGTGTTGATGAGACTGCCGACTGCCGACCGCCGAGGAGGAGAAGACCTTTTGCCGAAGCAAAGCTGTGTCCAACTGAATGGGAAAGATCAGCACTACTCGTCTGATTGTGAGTAGATGGTAACATCGAAGATCTGCTCGCTCACGGAAAAGGTACAGATCCCGTTGGCTGGTTGAGGGAAGGGGAGAGGCGGTTTCGCGGCCAACCATTCCCAAACGTGCCGGCCATCCCGACTGGACTGGACTGGACTGGATTGGACTGGAGTGGACCGTCTTGTCCTCGGCCACGGCGGGACTCGAGCTCGAG